ATTCTGTACCAAGCGTTGAAGTACCTCAGAAATCTAAGATGTAAAAGAATCAAAATTTTAGAACAGTAAATGCAACTAAGAGTCTGTTGGCATTTTACTATATATATATATAATATATCTTTAAAATATCCAGCTTTCTTTAAAACATAGCTACTCATGCTCTATTCAGACTGCTTATATAATCTATTTTCAAATATCTTTCCCTATTAAGTATACATTGACCTAGCACATATTCATACGTCTTCATTCACTAGTGCTCTGTGTTTGGTTATAAACATGATGAAAACAGATTCTTTACAAGCCAATCCCTTTCCTGACATTATTGTACATATCTGATGAATGAAGTGATATTGTTCCTTTAAAAACATACAGTGTAATGCACTTTTCATGCTTTGATAAAACAACTTTACGATTTATAAATTGTTATGTTAATACCTACTACATAAACTACACTGCATTGTACTTTTAGTGCCACATAACACCCTTTGCCTAGAATACTGAAACTTCAAACATTCTTTCTCCATTATATAACACTCTCATATATATTTTTATGTTAACAAAATCGTGTAATATTACTTTATTTATTTACTGTTTCCTCTCATATTATGAAACGAGGTGAAATTGAAACCATCAGCAATTTGGTTGCCAATATGCAGGAATATTGGCATGAGACTATATAGTCTTCTCTTAGTTTGTGGTCTGCATAATACAAATATGGCTTCCCGTGAAATTCCTCCTCCAAATTACTCATGTATAACCATGATATTTTATCTATCGCCATTAGCCATGATAATTCAGGCACAGAAAGCACTTCTAATTTGTTTAAAATGTCTTGTTAAAAATAACAAATAGTTAATTGCCCAACCTAACAGATGTCTGTCTGTTACATATTTGTTACTGTATTTTCATTTTTCTTGTACAGTACATATTAGTGTTGTAGCTGTTTTCAGTCTTTTAACTGAAGGGTAATGTATATTATTCTCGGTTATAAAAAGTTCAAA